CCTAATTGTATTATGTTAATGTATGTAAATACTTATATGTTTGAATTTACTATTAACTTATGAAACGATTCCTAATCTTTGACAATACATGTTTGACTTCATTAACTACAATCTTGAAAACTGACCAAATCGGCGTGACCAAGTCAATGGTCCTTTTAATATTATATAAACATCCGAAAACATTAAACTTTTTAAATAAATCTCGTCTCACTTTTTTGTATTTTTCACTTGGTTGCTGAAGTAGGGAAGAATGGAAAACTCATAAGGAAAATTTATAGCTTTTGTAAGTTTTATCTTAGTATCTTAAAAACTTGTAGACTTATTGAAAAATGATAAATGAACGTGAGGTACCAATTTTAATAACCCTTAATTTGATATATCGTCCTGTTTATAACAATTAACACATTCCATGGATATTACAAGCCAAAGTTTCATTTTCAAAATTCATACACAAAATTCATACAAAATTCATGGCTTATACCTAAGATATGATAATATTACTATTACAAAACGGTCAAATGCCTTAACAAAGCTGTTGGAGCTGACAGCTTTCCAGCTGAGCTATTCAAGTACGGCGGCGAGGAGTTGATAAGGTGCACGCATCAACTATTATGCAGAATATGGTCAGATGAACGCATGCCCGACGACGGGAATTTAATTGTGCTCTGCTCAATCCACAAGAAAGGCGACCCCGTCATTCGCGCCAACTACCGCGGGATCAGCCTTCTAAGCATAGGTTACAAGGTCTTATCGAGCGTATTGTGTGAAGTCAGTGTTACCGTTGTGCGACTAAAGTGCAAATGGACAATTTTTGGAGATCGATGCGCCTTGACACCGACTTTTTAAAAGTAGCCTTATTCTGAAACTTTTCTTAAGAATCCCGCGACTTTTTCCCCTTTTCTTTGATTTTGATAATTTTTTCATAAAGTTTATATTTTTTTGTATGTTTAAAAATGTTTTCAGTATTTACTTTTCAAAGGCTCTTAAAATTTACACCTCTGACAATATTTTGACTGATTTCAACCTTTTAATTTTGTCAAAATTTTTTGCGAAAAAATCTCTAGAAGTAGCATTGAATTAATGCACCATTTTTGTAGCTTAGCATTTCCCCAAGCTATTACTGTTAAATTTATTTTCGTGGCTTCTGGCGCAAACAAATAATCTGCGATAATTTATATACAAACTTAAAAGGTTAAACTTTGTTATAATAACACTGTGAGACAAATGGTAGGGGTCAGTGATCGGGAAGGGTTCAAACTACCGGGGAAAGTTATATCGGTAAAAGAGAAGTTATACGTGTCCCGGCGTTTCGCTGGGTCACGTCTAGGAATCGAGATATATCGATTTGAAGTTAGTAACTATCATATAGGGGAAATTGTCACCTTTGGTGGTCTTTTTTTTGACATAACTCGAGAACCACTAGTCCGATTTTGCTCAAACAAATTTAAAAAAATTAAAAATTACAATTCCTTTAATCTGTTCATATAACGTTTTTCTATATAATCAACAGTTTTGCCGGTAAAAATAAATGTATGAAGAAAAAAAATATTTTTTGCTTAAAATATATTTTACCGGCAAAACTGTTGAGTATATAGAAAAACGTTATATTAACAGATTAAAGGAATTGTAATTTTTAATTTTTTTAAATTTGGTTGAGCAAAATCGGACTAGTGCTTCTCGAGTTATGTCAAAAAAAAGACCACCAAAGGTGACAATTCCCCATATATGATAGTTACTAACTTCAAATCGATATATCTCGATTCCTAGACGTGACCCAGCGAAACGCCGGGCCACGTATAACTGGTTTTTGACCGATATAACATTTCCCGTTGGTTTCATCCCATCCCGATTTTGACTGTCGCATAGTGTAATTGTTGTCTACTAATGATCCGTTTGTGTGACTGAAGTATTATATTGATGTAAAGACAGTTTTTAATAGCAATTTTATTTTCATAATAAATGCATATTGCTTCTTTTTTATCAAAAAATAGATGAAATAAAGCCGACTATAAAGTTAGATGCAGCGTTTTGACGGATTTATCATTGAGAATTATGTCTTAAAGCTATAACTTAGCTTAGAGTGGATTTTATTTTGACTATAAATATAAGCTTCGAAAGGAAAAATAATGAAAATCGATGTATGTATACATGGTACAAAAAATTTGAATTACTTTTTTTCGGCTGTGACACTTTTTTGAGACTTTCGAAAATTTTTCAGCGGTAACACTGTGTGAAATACTGAATCCCACATGAACTGATTGGGACTTATCAGTGTGGCTTTAGACCTGGAAAATCCACCATAGACCAGGTGTTCACAAAACGCCAAATCTTGGAAAACAGCCGCTTTCGATAGTACTAAAAAGAGTTGCCTATACACCGCGATGTCTGAATTTGGCAACCCCGAGAAACTGATACGGCTGTGTAAATGACGTTGAGCAATACACCAGCTCCCTCAGAATTGGGAAAGACCTCTCCGAGCCGTTCGCCACCAAGCGGGGTTTCGGAAAGGGTGACTAACTTTCATGCGATTTCTTTAATCTGATGTTGGAGAAGATAATAAGAGGTGCAAGTCAGAACCACTCAAGAACAATTTACTACAATTACTGTAATTTTTGGCATACGCCGATGACATCGACATCATCGGAAACAAAAACCGCGAAGTCTGTTGTGTCTTTTCCAAGTTGGAAAAGGAAGCAAAGCGAGTTGGTCTGGTGGTAAACAAGGACAAGGCGAATTATATCCTGTCATCAAACAAACAGTCAGCGCCTTGTTACCCACGTCACTGTTGACAGTTATAATTTCGAGAAAGTGGAGAATTTCGTTTACTTGGAAACCAGCATTAACACCGATAATAATGTCAGCATGGAAATCCAACGCAGAATCACTCTTGCCAACAAGTGCTACTTTAGACTGAGTAGGCAATTCAGGAGTAGAGTCCTCTCTCGACGTACGAAAACCACACTCTATAAGTCAGTCATCATGCACGTGCTGGTAAATGCGCAGAAGCATGGACAATGGCAACATCCGATGAGGTGGCTCTTGGAATATTTGAGAGAAAGATTTTACGGGCCTTTACGCATTGGCGACGGCGAGTACCGCATACGATGGAACGATGAGCTGTATCAGCTTAACAGCGACATGGACATAGTGCAGTGAATTAAAGTACAGCCGCACCAATGGCTTGGCCATGTACTTCGAATGGACACCGACGCTCCATTTCTGAAAGTATTCAAATCGGAACCCGCTGGTGGTATCAGAGAAAGAGTGAGGCCCCCACTGCGATGGAAAGACCAGGTGGAGAAGGACTTGGCTTCACCTGGCATTTCCAATTGGTGTCTGTTCGCACAGAAGAGAAACGACTTGCGTGCTTTGTTGAACTCGGCCAAAATCGCTTAGGCAGTTACAGCAAACGATGCATCGATGTTTTCAAAACATACGATACGTCGTCAATACACCGACTATAAAAGTGAAAATTAGCGACATCGTTCATTCATTCCGTTCGTACTCTGCCGAACGACCAGTGCCAAGCGAGAGCTTTTTCCCGGAAGCTGGTGCAACCGTTACCTACTCAGGATATAAATAAGCTTTGAGGACTAGATTAGCAAAGCTTATTTTCTGAACTCTATTTCATATTTTTATATTCAAATAGATACGATTTATTAATATAATAAAAAGCGCAAAAAGCCGACAGAAAAAAAAATCATTAAAAATCAAAGCGATATTTTAGCCACTTAAAGCTTTCACTTGTTTTACTAGAATTACATAACCGATGTACCAGCATACCCCCCTTTTTCTAAAGATTCAGATTAAAAAGTTCAAAACTAAGATGAAAATGTTTTGAATTTATAAATTCTGTATATAGTTTGAAAGTTTGACTTATGTGGTTTTAATTAAAGCATGAATCATATTCTTATAAACAAATAAGCATATTTGTTTGAAAAATATTGTAAATATTTAACAAAAAACACCATTCACCCGCTTTTGATCGACAGCGTATATTAAAATGTGAATTTTTTAATTTTTAAATTAATTTTACTAAACCGCTGGGATAGGTAGCCTTTGATTTTAAGGTACGTCGTGGTTACATATTTAATTACTTCAATTTGTAGCGAATATGGGAATCTAGTTCTTTTGAGCTTAAAAAAATACCGATGTATCGTTTTTATAACCGCGTTTTTTAACATCGATGGAAACATTGATGTTTTCAAACATCATACATACATATAAGTATATACATATGTATGTATATGTATTACAGGTAGTTTTTCAATTCATCACATTGTGTTTACATTGTAATTGTAAATTATTAGACGGCGTATAAATTTCTGAACTTTGGTTTAACTTTCAACTGTTTCGACTTTAAGCCTGTTCCTGTATTTATTTTTAATGAGATTAACCTCTGAAATTTTTCTTTCTTCAGCTGTGCGGTAAAATAGCTAATGTTAGCATATACTCTGCCAAGTTGCTAAACAATCACCTCTCCAACACATTTATCTGTTCCTTAATCAAACCCCTGCTTTGGGAAATAAAGAAGGAATGATAAGGCGCAAAAGAGACAATTTATGTTACACCTTGCTATACAAAACCTTGGCCACAGAAGGTATGGAGCAAAAATTTAAGAAGTTGCAATATTATTTTTAATAAATTCTTAATGTGAATCAAAAAACGAAAAAATCGGAGCATATTTTAGGTCAAGCGGAGTAGGTAGTAGATTTTAAATTTGAAAAAGAAATCGGAGTAAATCTACTCCGATCGGAGCCAAGTCCGGACGCTGGTTTTGTCAAAACTTAAGCTTACATACAATTCATATAGACATATATGCATGTGTATGTACATATGTATATCTATGACATACCTTGCAGCCTCAATACCTATGACATTTTTTTGTCAAGCCGCGCATGCAGATCCCTGGGTGTGTTCACTTGGAATCTTATCAACCCGTCATTATAAGTGCTGCGTGCGGTTAACACATTCCTATTTCATTTATTTTCCAATTACAGCGGTGCAAAATGAGCGACAGCCGCGAAACACAGCTACTATTCGTCCTGAGACGCTGCGGGAGATGGAACACGGACGAGCTTTGCGGGAAGCGGCCGTTGCTGTAGGAGTGTTTGGGTAAGAAGTTTACGTTTGCATAAACTAGCGCGTATGTATATGCCTATGTTAATTTGTATGTATGCACACGGAAATAGTAGAGAATGTCACTTCCAATTGCCCGATAACAGCATTTAATTGTATTCTTTCTATTCTAGACCACCCGTGTTATTGTCTCCACCTTGCTATGGTTCTGGGCTGTTACCACCTCCTAGTAAATTTATTTTTTGTAATAAAATCTGTTGAAAATGTTTTTAATTTAGCATGGGTTTTCCAGCGATTTCCGGTATTCCCACAAATCGTCGACTACATCACAATCACATTTCGAAGGCCATACAACTTTCGTCAAATGTATCACACGCAGGCAGCTTTTCTGTTTTTAATAATAATCTACAATTTTCAAAAGAGAATTCCTATACTACGTCAATGGATCTCTCGAATGGAACAGTCTCTGTGTCTACGAACTCAAGTAGTACGAATTCTATAGATCCGAGTTCCCCCATATCAGATGCAGGTAATTACAATCACATGTTGATACTTATTTATACATTCATATTGTACTCGTATGTACTACATATGTACATATGTATGTAGTTAATTATGTTATTGTTACGCGAATAGTTATCTCACAACATTAACTTAGCTGTATTTGCCTGCCTGATATTTTTAATAGAGTTCAATCACTGAATACCAATGAAATAAAGGGTCAGGTGGTAACGCAACCCGTAGTACTACTACAAAGGCTTGAACACGCTTATTCATGGACTATGTATCTAGAAATGTCTTACTTTCGCAACATAGCTCCAATTGGGCATTTAGCCACGTTTTTGAATGCTGGACACCTCCATCAATTATAGTTTTGGACTGGCTTTCCAATAAGGGCGTTGGTTAAAGGGACGGTGGGCGAACGAGGACTGGGCATGAACCGCCATTCACAAAAATGCAACCGCCGACCACCTAGGCCAACTGCAGGTCCCTAGGGACCCTTTAGAAAAATGGACAAAAATCACTACCTGCACTTGCGTTTACGCCTATTTTTAGCAAAGGAAAGCACTCATTGACTTGTATCAAAACGCAGGAAATACTTGGAATTGTACTAAAATGTATAATTTAATTGTTTAAGTTTATGTTAGCGATAATAACAACAATATGTAAAAAAATCACATAATCGATGCGATTTGCAGCTAATAGTTATTAACGTTGAACTGTCAAATGACCGAATGAAAAAGAGGCGGGTGGTTAACCCAACAAGCAATTATCCACAGTATTTTTGCGAAGAAGTTTGAGCGTAAGCGGCCTTCGGCCGCGCTTAAGTATTATAACCCTTACTAAGTAGAATTCTCCTTTCTGTGTTGCGAAATAAAGGGGGCCGAAACCGCTTACGCCATCCACGGTATTTTTGTACATAACTACTTTCTGCCACGCCCCCTCCCCTTCCGCCCACCACCCCTTTAACCAACGCCTTTATTGGAGAGTTTCCCCATAGTTTTTTTAAGTAATGCCACAATAAGGCACTTACGTACTGACTCAAACTCATTTAAACTAAATACAAACTAATTTTAATATACAACACATATGTACATACATATGAGTCGCGACATTACCAGTTTTTCTCTTCGTTTCTTCAATTGATCGACTGCTCCCAAAAAGCTGAATTACAAAAATTGTGTGTTTATGAGCATGTATTATTGCGCGGAGTCGTAATCTCAGGTAAAATTCTTTACCTTCAGGCCTCTCGGGTTATCGTCATTCTCAAGACTTCATAAAGACCTACATACATAAAGTTGGAATTGTAGTAGAATTTTGGAATAAAATGATAAAATTATGAAATTTTTGTAGCCACATCTGAAACCCGCACCAAACTGGGTACGAACATGGCTTAAACTACGAAACCTGTTGAAAATTTTTTAAATCGTACAATAACCCCGCCCACCTCCCATAAAATTGTAATTTATAGAGATACGAAGTTTCCGATAAAGAAGTAACTACCGCAGCAATTTCAATGAATAATTTAAATAAATAAATAAATTTTTTACAGCTATCAGGTGATTAAAAATTGTTTATCCGGCAAGGCTAGTGAAAAATTTAACAGCAAGCATTAGCTTTGTTTCTTTACTTTTCTAGCCGATAATTATCAATAAGAAGAAGAATTTAAAAATAGATAGAATTACGCTCACAGAGGGCGATATAAAGCAATAGTTAATAAACGCAAACTAGCAGAAATATCAAAAGTATTCACAAATACATTTTGCAATACATCCTCAATATTTAATGAACCGCACATTTTTATTTACAAAACCTCTAAACACAGAATTTTGCCTTCCTGGCTTTAGCTGAGGCAAAGGCTTTGATGATAGCAGCGAAGTCGAGTTTCCTTGCTAACACACATAACGTGGCCCAATCCTGAAACTCGACTCTGGGTTGAACAAGAACGATGATAGTTTTTATGTCCTTAATATAACATTGAAGGATCGCTCGGCGGATACTAGCAATGTGCAGATCATTCGCAAAGCGATACAGGTGTTTGGGTACATTGTGTCTAAATTTTTAGCTGTGATGGCATTTAAAAGGTCAAATGGAGATAATCCTTAGAATTTTCAGCAAAATTCGCCCTATAAACAGTTTTAAGTGCATCATTTCATTTTAAATCTCGTCGGACATATCGCAAATAACTGTTTGCACATTTTTCGAATGCTGTCTGCTCACCAGGCATGCCGACTCTATTCAAAAATTCATATCCTTTCTCATAGTTTTGTGCCCCTAGATAGAAAGGCTTAAAAAAGTGGATGATTTCAAAGAGTTTAACTGAACTTATAAATTGCACAAAATTAAATAATATTTCACTTGTTTTGTGATTTGCGATTTATCAACATCTTATGAAATATACTCTGGAGTCTGAGCAGGGGTCCCCTTGAGAACTCCGGGACAGGGGGAAAAAGCCCCCATGGCCTTTTTGTTTAGCTCCCCATGGTGTGTTAGCGCTGCCAAATTAGAGCACAAAATCATGGGATGCTCTGATTGGCTGGATGCTGAGTCTCATTTCATGTAATCTGTGTCTGTGTATATCAGCCAGGGATGGAATTTCAAAATTTCTAATTGTACCTAATGGACTGCGAAAATAGTGCCGAAAAAGAGATGGAAGTACCACAAAGTTAAAATTGCTTCCTTTTAAGGCTTTTTAGAACAATATATTTTCAGAAATATTAAGTACGCGGAAATAATATAATAATTATTAACTAATTGAATTATACTGTTCGGCAGTCGGCTGGGGAATTGATGAAGCCAAATTTTTCTAAAAGTCTGGATTGTATATAGAAAAGTAATTTCTCAGTTTTCTCAGGTTGGCGATTTTAAACGTTTTTTTTTCAATGTGAAGTTGGTGGTTGCAGAGCAGCATTTAAAATAAGTAAAAGTGGAAAATGCAAATATTTATACCATCAATAGGAATCTGAAACTGCCGTTTCATTTTTACCAAAAAGCGTTTCTTTTTACCAAAAACGCCGCGGCTGTTGGAGCATTTTGGTGCAAATAAACATGAAGAAACATTGTTTAGAAACGTCGTTGAGAAACTTTGTTTGCACTTTTCCTTCATGTTCCTTCCATATTCCTCTCCCCCCTTCCCCAAATCCGGGCTGCGCCACTGATATATATGTATGTATGTACATTAGGGTGCCCATCGAATATTCTTCTTTTTGGAAATTTCAAAACCCCTTACCCTAATTTTATTCGTTTTTATGAGAAATATCATTGCTTATTCTTATAGATTTTTCAAAGGTCATTTAGAGGCCGCGACTAGTCGATTTATGTCAGAAAATGGGATTTTGTAGGTTTATGAGTTTTTGAATAACTATTTTTGATTAGATTTCAAAGATCGAATATGATCTGAGAAGAGGATGTATAGGCCTTTAAAATGATATATAATAATCGATTGCCGGACTAGGGTTGTTGGGATTTTTTATCGGGTAAATTACAAAAATACCCATATTTCTCTTAATTTTTTAAATTTTGACCATGGATAATTTCTACAATTTCAAAATATGAAGTACTATCTAAAATTAAATATATTTTCAAATAAACTGATACCTTACTTATTGAAATCGCATAAAAATTGTCTAATTTAGGCGACTTTTCTTAACCCATTTACGCCCAAGCAAAAACGGTTGGAATATTATTATATCTAATTTTATTTATGTGATCATAAAAGCCATTTTAAACAAACTAAGGAATTAAAATTAACGAAAGAAGCTCAAAAGTTAACTTTTGGGAGTGTACTTTTTTTAGTACAGCGGGCACTTATGTATGTGTGTTAATTTTTAAAATATTACTTGACAAGGCATAACGTTTTTTTGCATCCCGTACATTGCCATATTATAACCTCATGACACAAAACACAGTTTAGCTGCTTAGGTAACTAGCCTGGGTTATGTCCGTTATGCCTTGGGTTTGGATCTGCTACAATAGAACCGGATGGGTAGTTTTATTCGAACAATGTGTCTTCTAATAGCTAATTGGTCGAAAATAATCTTCGCTCGACAAAACTTGTCGACTCCACCGGTTAGATATACCCATATCAAGCATGTATGTGGAGATTCATAACCCACCACCATTTCTTACTACGAATATAAACACCTCACATTTTTGATAACAGCGATTTGACAACTCTATATCCTAGATGATCCCATGAGCTTCCAATGATTTTTCCACAATATATGTCAAAGACTTAGTAATAACCTTCATAACTTGCTATCACCCAGTTTTAGCAGCAAAACATAATCGAAATGTTAAGAAATAAATATATATAGAGTTCTAGAAAATTGCTTCAGAAACTACCTGACGTTTTTGACAAAAACTCTGAATCATCATGTCACACACAGGCCAGATTTTTAACATTTTATCGTTATACGTAATTGCAAGACTACTCTCAACTACGAGAAAGCTTCTCTTTTCCACTAACTCACTTTTTTCTCTTAAAGTAAAGTATTGCTAGCATAAATCTCCACAAATCATTTCCGTATCCTTCCTCAAATACCACTAGAGATATTCTGTATGATAGTTCCACTTGTATGATCTATAAATCCCAGCAGAATTATGTATTATATAAGTTTCAGTATGTAAAGGAGGACCACGCCCCCTTTTCCAATAACTGCCAATTTTCTACTTAGTATAGGATTGATTTCATATACTATCTCCATATCAAGTTCTAGTATTCTACTGCATCTACTGCAAACTTCTCTTCATATGCAGTCTGAAAAATTCAGTTTGTATGGGAGGTGCCACGCACAGTGCTGTTTGGCACTTAGCAATGAAGAAATGTGGAAAATGGTAAAATTCAACGTACTACCACGCACACAGCTCTTGTGGGCGGAAATAATAAATGTTATGCGATTTTGATGAAATTCAGAGCATATGCTGGTTTTAACGAGAAAAGCTTGAATTTGAAAGATCGTCAAAATCGGTTTACATTATCATCCAGAATAAAAGGCACAAACAAAATCTTTTATGATGAAATTTGGT